ACATTTTTGTAAAATGTATAAGAATATGTTTTTTTTTAAATTTTAAAATTTAAGAGACACATTTTAATACATGAGATATTGCAAAAATTGAATTTTTGAAATATCTTGAAATAGAATATACAAGATGATACTATATCATAATAATGAAAGTATTAAGAAAAATTTCTAAAAGAAATTTAAAAAAAAAAATTTTTTTAATTTTTTAAGAATTGAGAACTAAATATAAAAAAGTCTGTAAATATTATATACTTTATTATATACTTTATTTTTCATAATAAACTTTATTATATTTTTATCTTTTCTTATAATATAATTTTTTTGTTAATTAATAATGAATTTCTAAAATATAAATACAAAATTAAAATAAAATTATTAATGTTTAATAAAAAGATAAATTTCAATATATATTGTCAATACACAACATTTTGATAGTCAAAAAATTTTTTTTATTTGAAAATTTTATTTTTAATTATATACAGTCTTTTTTATGCTCAGTTTTCATTTATTTTTCATCACTAAAATAAAAATATTATATGTATTTTAATTTTCTATCATTGTACACGATAATTGTGCATGGTGAATATTATATTTAATGTTTATTTTTTCTTCATTGTATATGTCGTCAAATTCTAAATTTGGCTGATGAGATGAGTATAAGGTATAAGGAATTTTCGGTACAGTAATAAATAAATGATTTTGAATACGAACATTTGCAAGTATTAATTTTAAAATGAGAAATGCATGATTTTCATTAGTATGTAATTTTATCTTAAACATATATTGATATTTTAAATTAATAAATATTTTAAACATCACTTTTATTATATTTTTTTACAATTTTAAATCATGATGATAATTCGCACAATATAATTCTAATTCTTAATTTTCTTAATTTTTTAATTTTTATATAGCTTTTATTTTCTATTTTTTTATACTTTATTTTATAGTTTTAGAATACAGAATTTTAAAATTTTAAAATAAAGAATTTTTCTATACATATTATATATACACATATACATATATAATATGATTAATATAATCTAATTTTTCATTTTTTATTACCATTTTATATATATATATAAGGTATTTCATAAATTTCGATAAATAATCCTTCTATAATTTCAATCTGTAGTTAAATTCAAACTTATGAATAAAAATATAATTTTTTATTTTTGAAAAATTTGAAGAATTTCAAATTTTTTGCAATAGTAGATCTATTCGATTATTATACTTATTACTTTAATATAAATGCATTATATTTTTTTATGATAACATCTTAAAATAAAAATATATTTTTTTATAAAAAATGTTATTCACTTTTAATTTTATTTGTAATTTAATTTTTTTTTTTTAATTATACTATGCTAAAATAAAATTTAAGTTAAAATTAGAAATTAGAATATAAATATAGATATATAGAAGAATATAGAATATAGATATTTTTAATATCATTAGAAATATATTTATTTAATATAAAATTTAAAACGTATAAACATAAATATTAATAAAATTTAATTAAATCGCTAATTTTTATTTCAATTATTTCTAAATCTTTCTTTATTTATAAATAAATATATTATATGATATATGTATATATTTGCATGCATTTAATTGTTCTAGCATAATTAATGTACAGGATAGAGAAATATTTCTAAATATCTTTATTATTGATATTTATTTTATTATTATATTAGAAATATAGAAAAATTTATTATATGAAAGTTGTATGATGCCAAAAGAGTTATAATATAATATGATAATAATAATTTTTTTATAGATAAACGACTTTTGATTTCAAAGTCATTTTTTTAAAATTATTTGCTGCATTTTTTTAAATTTGTTATCCTTACAGTATAGAGAATATTTTAAAAGAATGTTGTAAAAAATATTTCTTGCAAATTTTTTTTTTTAAAATTATCCCAATCAATTAATATATGATTAAATAACAAATCTTAATTTATAATAAAATATTCAAAATGATGTCCGTTTGTATCGAATTCAGGTTGCCAAAATTTGTATATTTTTTATTATTTTTAGATTATTTCATATTTTCGTTGTTATCTTTTTTCGAATGTATAATATTTAAAATTTACCAAAAAAGCAATCAATATATGATATATTTGGGAAACAAATTAGCTACAATACATGATACATTATGTTCTATGCACCGATTTAGGAAGATGCAATTAAGTATAAGTCTTTACTATGTATTCGTAATATATATAGCATTTATCATGTATAATTTTCTATTAAAATCAGTTGTATATTTTGTAGTAAAATAGAAATCAATTAATCAAAATCAATCCATAAAATTTTCATATTTTACATGTTTTATTTTTGAAATCTATCAAATTATTTAGAATCTATGATATCATATTACACGTTTCTCTTAATCAGTAAGATAGTATTTATTCCTTATACAAATTTATTATTAATAAATTGTTGCTTCATCAAATAATAAAATAATGATTAATAAACGTTTTTTTATTTTTTTAAACATAACAAACAATAATAATACAATATAGAGCAAAATTTTAAAATATTCTGATTTTAATATTATATCATATCTTTATAAAAAAAATTCTCAGATAAATTTGTATTAAAAATTGAAAAAACATAAAAAATTTTAAAACTCAAAGAGATTTTCCATCGACAATAAAATTACTCCATATATATATATTATACATACATACAAACTTTCATTCAAATCAAAATTTTCAGGTTAAATGAATTTTCTTCTTTATTTAAGGTAATCAAAATATTATTATATATAAGTATATATATAACTGCAATCAATTCGGAAATAATAATAAGAACACATAAGTTCGACAATTTGATGATTTCAATATTAATCTAAAGAAATGTTATTTCGAATATTTATTATTAAGTTAAGATTTATTATTTAATCTTATATTTATTATGAAATAATTTCAAAATAAATATTATTAAACTCATTAAAACATTCTCTATACTGTCAAGAATAGTATAGAATATAAAAAAAATATAGCAAACAATTTAAAAAAATAAAAATGATTTTGAAATTTTCAAAAACTTTCAGTCTATAAAAAAATTATTATTGCCATATGATTCTTTTTGTATTGTACAATTTTTATATAAAAATTTTTTAATTATTTATATTAACGATTTCTTATCAATTTTGATGCGCAATATGTTGTCAAAATCATTATAAACAAATTTTATCAAATTTTATATATGCATTATATATTAATATTTTACTTTCCGAGATATACATAAAAATATTTTTTAAATTGATTCTGTTTGAATTAGTTTTAAATTGAAAGTTGGACTAGAATTAAATTAAGTTATAGAAATAGAAATTGGAAAAATATCAGCATATAATATATTATTAAATGTCATTATATCGAAAAATGCAATTATTCTTCTTCTAATAAAATTATATTTTTATCAAAATAAAAATTCAACAACTTAATCTAGTCTAGCAAACTCAAAATATAAAACATATACAAAATAATCTTATTTATATTTGTATATAAATATAATAAGAATAATAATACAATAAAATAGTATCATAATATTTCAATCAGTATTTATATTATTCTTTTTTTTATTTAATTTCACATCAATATCAAGATTGTTAACAATATCTTAAATTAAATTAGATATTATTATAATATTTTGTGAAATAATTTAATATTCTTAATGAACTTAAATAAGTCTTGTATTTTTTTTTTTTTCAAAGCTTTCCTTAAGTAATAATTCTAATTTGAATTTATCATGAAGAATGATATATTTAAAATTAGATATTCTAAATCAGATATTCTACTATTATTGTAGAGAAAACTTTATAAAATTGTTCTTTTGAAATATTATATGAATATATGAATTTTGGTATGGCCAATTCTAATCTGTGAAATGGTCTCTTCTGGATAATTTAATATTTGATGAGTGATGCTTTAGAAAACTTTAAAAAATATTAGTAAATATTATTATCTACAAAAACTTTCATTATAGTTTTGTTAACGAATTAATAAAAAATATTGGCTAATCACGGAGAGCGTAATCTAGTAATGTTGATTATACGTTGCCTGAGCACGAATAAATCTATTCTAACATTATAACGCTATTTTATTTTTTGCTTGTTTTATTAAATCATCCATATACAAATAATTATAAATGAATCCAATAGTAAAGCTTAATGAACATGATATTTATTTATTCATTATTCATGATATGATTTAATATAATTTTTTATCAATAAAAAAATATTTATTATATTCAACATATTTTTTTCGAGATATATTGCTTGAATT